TTTTTTTTTTTTTTTTTTTTTTTTTTTTTTTTTTTTTTTGAGTATGGTCTATAGGGTAATTTATTACTAATCTGAACCTAATTTCAGGTATATGCAGGAATTTTAAACATTCTTCTAGTTCCTTGCCTGTTCTTCAGCAACCAATATATTCAATTCGCGTAGGTACATGGGTTCAAGAAATTGCAGAAGTTAACGGACAGCCTTCGACAATGAAACGGCCTTTTGCCATGTTAAATAAAAATGCCTCTCTTGGTGACGCCCTATCATTGTTAGTTCAAGGTGATATGTCTCCTTCATGTTTGAATTTTTTTTTTTTTTTTAATTTTTTTATCTTATGTTAACAAAAATAGTTGAAATTTCCATGTGTAAGTAGTGGAAAGGAGAAAAAGTGAAAGGAAAACAAAAGGATGCTTGATTATGGCTTCTTCTATTCTTTCTTTATTTAGAAAGGTTTTTTTTCCTCCTTTAGGTATTTTCATCACATTTCAAGCTCTATAGTAATTGATTGCATTACCTGCATGGACAAGTAACCTCTTTGATGCCATGGGTGAATGTGATTAGGTGATTCTGGCTTCTTTAATGCCGCTAGTTTTGGCTGCTTTACCATTATTACTACCCTTTTCCTTTTTGAGGTTGTTATTCATTAACTTTGTGTGATAGATGATGATATTTGACAGAAAAGAGCTATAAGTTCTGTTAGCAATATTATGAGCTGTTTCTTAATCTTAATCTCTCTCTCTCTCTCTCATGTTATTATTCCAATTGCAGCTGAAGTAAGTTCAATACCAATAGTGGATGAGAATTACTCATTGGTCGACATATACTCAAGAAGGTATTGCCTGCCTCCTTTTTCTTCCAGAGGCGAAAAAGGGTTTCCTTAGTTGGATGCCATCTTTGCAAATGCATTACTGCTGTTCAAAAAAAAAAAAAAAAAGATTGTTGAATGTCAACTAATCTATATACGTTCTGGTTGTTATTTGCACTTCAGTGATATAACTGCTTTGGCCAAAGATAAAGCTTACGCACAGATTCATCTTGATCAATTGAGTATTCTTCAGGTATTTTGAAATATTTCATGCATGAATTGACTATTGTCTCTTTTATGCACAAATAAGTGATTTGTACTAACTTGGTTCAGTGGAAAAGAATTTGAAAACTTAAAATAAAACCAGAGTAAATCAACAAAAGCATTTTTTCTATTTTCATTATAGTTGGATGTTTGAGCCATGGACCTTTAAAGTTTCCTGTTAAGAAATGATATATTACTTTCATTTTTAGTGGATTCTTGCTCCTATTAAATAATATTCTTGTTTGGAAAAGACTGACTTTAAAACTTTCCTTAGTTTGTAAGATTCAGTACTCTCTGGACTTTCTATGATGACCTAACTTAATATGCGCTGCAACTGTTGAAATTAGTTGGGCAAATTTGACAGCATGTAGCTTGTCATGTTAGAATCCACGTGAATCATGTTTTTCTCTGCTAAGAGAACTCATAAATGTGGCTTCTTTTCTTGTCATTGTAGGCGTTACAACTGGGACAAGATGCAAATCATACTTATGGCTTCTTGAATGGACAGAGATGTCACATGTGTCTAAGATCTGATCCTTTGCACAAAGTGATGGAGCAATTGGCAAATCCTGGTATTTCTTCATTCCATCTTTTTAATTTATTCATATTTTAGTACTATAAACTGCAAATCCTGGTATATCTTCTATCCATCATCATAATTTAGTCATGTTTTAGCACAATTTACTTAACTGTGCCATCTTGATGAAATATTGTCTCCACTGCAGGGGTTAGGAGGCTTGTGATTGTGGAGGCTGGCAGCAAGCGCGTAGAAGGGATTATTTCATTGAGTGACGTATTCAGGTTCTTGCTTGGTGTTTAGCGGGATTATTAAGCCACCAGGGGCACAAATAGATTGCCAAGGTGACGATGAGTAAGGAAGAACCCATTTGTTTTATTGACTGTTTTTGTGTCTGATGCTTCATCCCCCTTCTTGAGATTGGATCAGCTTCACGCTTCATGCTTCCTAGCCATCTGCTTCTCTTTTTTAGGACAAATTTCGAAGAGCAAGAAAAAGGAAAAATATTTGTAAATTGAGGACCCATTTTCTTCTTTTTTTTCAAATATCGTTATTACCATCAACCACGCTGCTGGAGCAGCTCTCTCCTTTATTATTATTATGCATCTAACAGAAAAAACATAAAAAACACAAAAGGAAAAAAAAAAAAAAAAGGAAAAGGAACCAATGCTTTGAGTACTCTTTGTATTTAGAAAGTGGGTGACTTGTTCAATTCAGTGTCTGTAAACTTTCTGCCTCTCTCTAGCATTTTGCCGAAAAATGGAAGGTTCAAATCCTTCCATTGTCATTTGGCTGGAAACAATTCAATCAATAATAACATGCTACTCTTAGGTTGAGATTTGTCCAATAGAGATGTGGACTAGGACGGTTTGTTAATACTTGTAGGACCGATTCAAATGTTAAAATGCTATAATCCTAGATTTGAAGATGATTGTGGACCCAATTAGATAATTTCTGGCTGCTTGTCAAGTTGTCTGAGCAGCGCAAGCAGCGGAGACATCACTGGGAACCTCTGGTCGTAGAGTTGGTTGTGTTTTTAGTAACCTGTGAATCCCTTCTTTATGTTGGTATCCTAAGTTAAATACTACTCGAAAATGGGTAAATAAGCTAGAGTACTTATGGGAACCCAGCCACCGATGGAAAGTCCTAATATCCGAAAGTCCTCATACCAGATGGATTGTCTGATAAAAGTTGCCGCTCCCACTACAAGAAAATGAGCATTTTCTGACAGTAAAATTGATCACAAAAACTTAAATTTTAGACACATTTAATTTGTAACTAAAAATATGAATTTTTAGAACTAATTTTTTGTCATAGAATGTCAATTTTCTTGCTCCTAACAGGCACCTTATTCCACCTAAAACCCCCATCCCATCCACCTTCCCGGCCATTCCTTTCTCTTAGGTGCAGCACACCCTCTCCACCACTTCGTTGTAATATTCTTCCCAATATGTTTTTATTAGAGTCTATTCAAAGGGAGTTGTATCCTGTGTTCTCTTCCCAAAAAAAAAAAAGAAAAGAAAAAGAAGACGAAGAGAGCTCACTTGCTCAATGGAGCATTTTCTCTTACCAACTCTCTTAAATTGTTTTTGCCACTAAAAGGGCAAAGATGGTGCCGTTTTTGCCCTTTAGGGGGTCAAAGAATTTGCAAAAGTCTGTAGACTCTCGATCGCCTAGCACGGATATCATCAGTTGGTGCACACTTTTGTCCAAGTATACAATGGTGCGTTTTTGGCATTTCGTTCTTCCCTTTTTCAACTTTTTTTTTTTTTTTTTGCTTTTTAACATTTTCATTTCAAAATTTTCTGCTTGAATATTTAAAATATAAGGTGAATAAAATAATATTTATATGATTTTTAAAGAAATTCTGTTTAAGTATATCCATTTGAGCGAAAGTGTTTAATTAGGTATTTTATTTGATGATTAAATGTATAAAAAGATTAATTTATATAAAATAATATTAATTATGATGATGTGACATCTAAGATATGGTAATTTTTTTTTATTAATCTTCATCTTATGTGCTCTTAGTCTTTCATTCTTTCATTTAGAGAGGATTTGAATTAAGTTATTTTGATATAGTTGATAACAAATAATTGATATTTAATGATTATTAATTATTGATATTTATAATTAAGGGAACGTAACTTATTGAATTAGAGTCCAAATTCCAAACTCTAAAATAAGCATTCACGTAGCTTCTAGTGAAGTGATGAAATTGGGGCTATGTTTGTTTTGACTACTCGTGCTGTGTGTGTTGTATCACAAAAGCATATTTGGATTCAATAACTATTTTTCAAAAGATGTTACTACTTCCATTCAAAATTTGTCGTCCTACTTTGCAAGCAAATTTAAGGCAATTGTTTTATTATTATTTCATTTTGTTATTGTTTTTTGTGCTCGATTATTAAGCCAAGCTAGCCAAAATTTGTCCAGCTCAGGAATGCATATCCCAAAAAACTAGGCCATCAAATATGACTTTAGAGTCCAACTAGATCTTTCAGGATAAGTGATTCGTTCTCAAATTTTAATATTTAAGTTTAATTGATTAAGAATTCGATTCTCATTAATAGTTTAAAAAAATCCTCCATCTTCAAATTCTCTCCTGTTAAAAAAAAAAAGATTTTAGAGTCTCTAAATGTGAATTAAATAAAATAATATGTATTGTGATAATATAATATATGAGGATATCCTTATAAAAATGGATTTTGAACACTTATAATTTTGTGTAAGACTTGTGTGAAAATTTTATGTGAAAAAGAATTTTACCTCTATACATAAATAGTTACAATCAATTTAGACTGATAAAACTTATATTTTGTCAAATCAATTGTAAGATTTAACATTTAAAAAGTCGACTTTAATCGTTCAAAAAAAGGGGCAAAATCGTCTTCCTATGGATAGAAATAAAATAATATAGTTTTTACCTTGATTGGTGTAGAAATCTTTGTATAAAACTATTGATTCTGTGCCAAGAACCTAAGTAGGTTATAATTTTCTTTTTTTAGAAATAAGAGATCATTGTTAACATGGCTTCATTATCTCTTGCTGGCTTTGAACAACCCCTTTCCACACCGGAATGGTATATGGGGAAGTAATTTTAAAGGAAAGTGGGAAGCAAACCCTCATTCCAACATTATTTGCCCTTAGACAATGACTAATAAAGCTTCAATTGAAATTAAAAGAACAATACAAAATGAGAGTGTTCTGAAATTATACTTGGATGGTTAAAAGAAGATAGAGAAGTGCAGTACAACACAAATATCCAGTACTTAAGAATGAGGGAATGCTATTTCCATTAGAGTTACACATAACATGAGCTAGACATACAATTATACCATCAAAGCCGAGGAGATGGTATTTTATTTTGGAAACAAAATCAACGTAAAGCATTTAATTATTTCAGAAAAGTTCATCTTGAATTACCCTGAAGTTCAAGATCCCATAAACCACAAAATCTCTAGAAACCAGGCAAATCGAATTCTTTTTTCTCCAAGCCAGCTATACTCTTCAAGTTCTTAGGTGATGCGAATTCATTGTTGCTCCAGAAAAATCTTGCCAGAAGATGATTGATATGCTCTGTGTGGTGCATTCCATCAAAAAACACATACTCCTCAATAGAATCTTGCCCGCAACCGTTTTCATCCAAGCTGCCACAGCCTTCCGCTTTTAAGGGCCCCCAACCACAACATGCAGATTGAATTGTATGTGCGTTCAAGCCTTCATCGGGAAGAAGAAGTTAATTACAAGCATAAATATGAATTAAAGCCATCTACTAAATTATATATGAAATCAATTAACTTTACCATATAAGCCTGGTGTCTCCACCATTTTCTCAATTATTTTGTGGTATTCCAATATTGAATAGCTGTATTTGGAATCTTTTAAAGTCTCCCCCAATTTGGCTTTAAGTTCTTTGTTGTGTTCGTCTACTAAACGGTTAAGTTCACCGACTCTCTTCTCGTTGAGACCTAGTTGTCGTACAATCGGATAGTGACGTAAAGGTCCAATGCTCATAACTGCAAATCTTCTTCCCCCCTTATCATTCATTATAGTCTGAAAATAAAATAAATTAACAACGTTAAAAAAAAAAGACATTTTTAAATCAATTTTTTTTTTGCAATTCAAATTATATTAAATTATAATATATTAATTATTAAATTAAAAAAATGTCTTGTAAGGTTCCTCAATCTAATAATTAGTTTTTACAATCCAGACACTGTAAAACAATTGACTAATTTTAAATATATATGTCATAATATTTAAGAACATTATCTTACTGTAACTGCCTCCACTATTTTTTCCACAACTTTGGCAGGATCAATTGATGTTGAATCTTTGTTTCTAATTTCTTGCAGATAGTCGAATGCGCCTATTGAAATTAAGTAGAGTGTATCTTCTTTCTTTTTTGAAGCTTCATCAAACAATGCAATCTTGTCATCTAGTTCGAGAAACAGTTTTACTTGGTCCCCTAGTGTTCTTCCCTGAAAAGCAGAATAAATATAGAGTGGTCATTAATGCAAGGATGCGCACAGTTATAGACTTATGGTGAAACATATTTCTCTTTTGTTGTGGATCCGATTATCAGATATATATACAAGAGAGATAATCAGCTATATATACAAAAGAGGATGGTACAGTTTTTTTCATATTGCTTTGATTTTAATAATATTAAGATTTAAATTTAAGATTTTTAAATTAGAGTCTCAAACTAGTCCACAAAAATTGAAAGTATTATTCTAAAACGTGTGTGTATATATATATATATATGATAAACAAATAGCAAGAAATGAAATGATTGATAAATATAGAAATGGACATGCATGCATTTTCTCTTTCATAAATACAGGATGGTGGCACGCGCAAGCACCCACCTCTCAATCCTTTATGGTGAAGTGATTATGATTCATGATTTAAGAAACTTAATTACTTTGCATACCGTTCCTTTACTACTACTTTCAAGAACCCCTGCCCCGGCTTGCGCAAAACTCAAACTTTTCCCAGGAAATTTGTCATTGTTCTCGTTCAATTTACAAGTATAGGGTGTAACTCTGTCTTCAGCTCCGAGGACATATTCGGCTGAAATCAATGAAGCAGATAATGTTAATTAACTAGTTACCAACAAAAAAAAAAAGGAGAAAAATTGGCAGCAATTGAGTTTTCATGAAAATTCATTACAAAAAAGAAAAAAAAATTGCTTGTGACACTATTGTAATAATTTATATTAAAATTGTTTTAAAATAGTATTTGCCACACTTTTAGTTACAAAAATTTATGTTAGGAAGGGGCGTCATAATGGAGGGTTTTTTTTTTTTTTAGTGATTATTTTAACCTGCATGCATGTGCCAATTAATTAGTTCATCATTAAAAATTAAATATATTATCTCACCAATAAAATCAGGTATTGTACGACCATCCGAGAATCTTCCAGTTTGAGACTTCAATTTTTGCCCGTATGGTTTATTGTTAGATGGAAGACAGAGTTCATCAATGCCAAATCCTACATCGAAGAGTGAGTCGCCGAAGACGATCAAGAAGGTGGCCTTTTCTGACTCACGGCACTCGAGGCGGGGGCATTTTGAGACACCTAGATTACCTTCGGGGTTGGCGGCCAGAGCATTATTGAAAAGGTTAGTGGTAATAGAAAGACTTATGAAAAGGAGAAGAAGAGTTCCTGCCATGAGGAAAAGCTAGCTGTATGGTTCAAGTAAAGCTTCTGGATGGAAAACACTTACTCCTAAACGCCTTATATAGAGGTAGGATTATTATTACATCTTAAATAATAAATATAATATTCTCTTAATGTAATTATTCATTATATTTTTATATTTTATTTTTTTCTCAAAATCTTACATTTTTTGTTACTTAATAAATTAAATAAAATAATAATTAATTAAAATAAAAGATTATGACACTAATAATTAAGAATATGACAATACCATTATCCTTTATTATACAATGAGCATTTCTAGTGAGAAAAAAAAAAATCTTCAACTTGTTCACATGGGTTTTTGGGTAAAACTCTTAAATCTATCTTTTAAATAAGAGGATAGGGATAGAGACCCCATTTGAATTTTTTTTGAAGCTACAACATTAAATATTTTCTTATAAAATATTAAGGTCATATGAGGTGACATGCGAATCATAACTAATTGCATCTAAATTCCTCCAAAAACTCATTAAAAGTTATTATTTTAACCTTAATATAAAGAGACATGCGAATCATAACTAATTGCATATAAATCCCTACAGAAACTCATAAAAGACTATTATTTTAGGGTTATATTTATAAGACAACCAAATAAGTAATTAAAGTTAACCAAAACCCAAATTCTTTAAACCCAAGAAAAAAAAATCTTACACTCAAATTAAATTACTAAAAGATTTTCTCTTAATAGAAACAAATCTTTCTTGAGTTTATGTATTCCTATTTTTCCTTTCACACATACCTAAATCATAACACATTCAAAATCGCACAATCCCTTGATTTTAGCCACAAAAATCTTATCTTGAACCTCCTGTG